GAACTCAGGCCCTTGTGCTTGCCGGGGAAGCGCTTATTCCACTGAGCCATCTCGCCGGCCCCATAAGTTGCTTTTGAATTTTTTATTTTTATTTTTATTTTTGGCGAAACTGGGGATTGAACTCAGGCCCTTGCACTTGCCAGGCAAGTGCTTACTCAACGGAGCTATCTCCCTGGTCCCACTTTTGAACTTTTACTGCTTTTCACATATACAGTCCTTCCATCTGCCTGTTTGCTTGCTTGTAACTTTTGGCGATCTTCCTGCCTCAGCATTCCAGTGCTGGATTACCACACCCAGCTTCCATCTGTCTTTGACAAGGATCCCTAAAATGTTCATATTTTGCACTCTCATACACATAATACTTAGATTTAAAAATGGATTAATGTGGGAAAGCTGCTTTATAGAAATAGAAGTTTACAGCATTAATATTGCATGCTTTGTGTGTTTTACTGCAGATATTGGGTGTTACCTACTTACATTTTTCTAAAAAAAAAATAGACTCATGCACACATAAAAAAACACTTAGTATTGTTTTTGCCAATAGTTGGAACAAATGGAAGAATATTATACTTTTCCTATTTTTTCTAAAGTAAGTTCTGTTGTAATTTTTCAAAAAGCAAGGAGAAACATATTTAAACCCAAAGTGGCTACAAATCAGCTCCTTAACTGTCACTGACATAGTGTCTAGATTTTGTAGTTTTTACAAATCTTTTAAAATATTTATTTTAAAAAATTGCATTAATGCATGAATCAAAATTGATAAATTTTTCTTAAAATTGGAATGCAGTTTAAAAGTGACTGAATTTTCTAATTTCAGCTACTGCATTTGGCAAGGATACAAACTGAAAAATGGAACTGGTATCATCTAATTCTGTTAGTTTCTTTAACTTGTAGTAGTTGCGAAAAATCTTTCAGTGTGGCATTGTGTAGCTCATATTCATGATGGCTAATATTAATACTGTGTTCCTAGCCTTCACAGGATTGAAAAATTCTGGGTGGTTGTTTTTTTTCAAATAGTTTAAATCTTTTTGATAGATGTTGTCAATAAAAAATACATTATTGGCATTTGGCTTTTGATGATTTAAACACTGACATTTGTTATATTTTGCTTATAATTGATATGAAGATGAAAATACATAAAAAATGGATATGAATAGTTGGAATTTCTGTAACAGTACATCACAACTTTAAATTATTGTACACATTAAAATGACTATGGCATAAATAGCTATAGATACAAATTAATTTTCAGATTTAAACACATCTTAGTTGTCTTGTCACATTATCTATTTTTTATTTCTGTGTGTACAGTTTAAACCTTTGCCTATCTTATGTGAGCTAAAATGTTATTTGTATAATTTTACCAATAGCAACTTCCAACCCACCCAAGTAATATTAGTATAACTCTGAGGTTATGCTTTTAAGAGCCAAAGCATTATCTTCAATGTGACTGTCAGTTGCCATCTGAAAAATCCTACTTACATCTTCCTTTTTGGTAGGCAGTATAAATATATGGCTTTATATTTTAAAATCTTTTTTAGAAATTACTTCTGATTCTCTTCAGAGATTTCTCATGCTGTTTTGCTATATGTCAACCATTTATTATTACATTAGGAAATTCCCTTCATAATGACAATTAAACAGGTCCTTTAAAAGAAGGATGAAATAGTGGAAACCATTTTCTGGGCATATAATCAAGTAATTTATAAGAGAATCTACCCAGTAACTAGTTCTTATCATACTTTTCATTCACTCTTAAAGGAAGGATTTGTTTATTTTAGAACTCATGATTCTGAACTGCCACTTTTAGCTTCTAGAGATTCTGTATGTCTGTTTATATTTCCTAGAACCCAGGATGTTCCAAATCAAACTCTTTCCACCTTTATTCTCCCATATGTTTTAGCCAGTTATAGTGATGATGGTACCAGTTCCATTTTCCCTCCAATTTAGTTGATTACATATTTTTCTATTTCTCATTTTATAATTGATATCTGGAATAATAAGCAGATCTTTTCTCATTTATTTTCTCATATTTTTATTCCAGGATTTGCCTCTGAAGCAGGGAGTGTCTGCATTAAAAATGACCTGTAGTTCTCTGCTTCATAGGTTAGAAACTTATTTTAATATTTTGTGGCTAAGCACAGTCCCACTTTTCAAATTCTATAATGAATTATTTAATTGGCATTGAATGTGGACCACAAGCATATATTTTATATTGGGGTTTTCTATATTACTTTAAATGATTAAATTTCAACAGAATGTCCAGCTGAGGCAATACAAACTTTATTCTTGCTTTACAGCTTAAAACATTAAATTAGATTTTAAAATTTTATTGATTATAACAGAAGAGTAATAATGCTATTTGGGCATTTAAAAAAATAATATTTCTTAGGGCTTAACATTGCTTGAAGCATTTATATTCTAAAACTTAACCAAATTCCAACTATCATTTTGGGGAAAAACAATCAGTTTACAAATCAGATTCTCAATGGGACTGCTAGCCAGTGTAGGTGAAAATATGGATAGTGTATTTACTCTTGGATTATACACTGCAGATGCTTCTTCAGCTCCCTCCTCTTCCTCCATGGGCGGTGCTTGCAGCTCCTTTACCACCTCTTCCAGCCCTACCATTTATTCTACCTCAGTCACCGACAGCAAGGCTATGCAAGTGGAGAGCTGCTCCTCAGCCGTGGGGGTAAGTAACAGAGGGGTAAGTGAAAAGCAGTTAACCAGTAACACAGTTCAGCAGCATCCATCAACCCCGAAGAGGCACACAGTTTTGTACATCTCACCACCACCTGAGGACTTGCTGGATAACAGTCGGATGTCCTGCCAGGATGAGGGGTGTGGATTGGAATCTGAGCAGAGCTGCAGTATGTGGATGGAGGATTCCCCCTCCAACTTCAGTAACATGAGCACCAGTTCCTACAATGATAACACTGAGGTACCTCGTAAATCACGAAAACGAAATCCAAAGCAGAGGCCGGGGGTCAAACGGCGAGATTGTGAAGAATCTAATATGGATATATTTGATGCCGACAGTGCCAAAGCACCTCACTATGTGCTTTCTCAGCTTACTACGGACAGCAAAGGCAACTCAAAAGCTGGAAATGGGTTGGTATTCACATTTTTTAAAGTTCTATCACCATTATACAAAACAAAACAAAAATCATTCCCAATTTTTCTTAATTGCTCAGCTAAAGTTTGCATATAAAGGAAAGGTGCTAATTTTATCATTGAAATAAATGATAATTTCAACTTAAAATTGTTAAGTTTTACTAGGAAAATAAAAACAAATGACAGTAGATTATAGGAATAGGTGTCCTGTTATGAGGATAGTTAGGTAAATAGGAAAAAATGTTTTGTTCTTGATTTTATGGCACTGGGGATTGAACCCTGGACTTTGTGTGTGCTAGGCAAGTATTCTATGCTGAGCTGCATCCCAAGGCCTTTGTAAATTTTATTTTGAAAAAGTTTCACAATGTTGCCTAGGCTAGCCTCAAACTTGTGATCTAAGTTTCCTGGTCTAGCCTTGAACTTGTGGTGCCTCAACCTTACTATAGTGAGCTGAAATTGTGGGCATATGTCAGCATGTCCAGCTGAAAATGATCTGTCTTGAAATAACTTTTAAATTTCAGATGGATTTTAAAATTTTTTACTCATAGAAATAGAATAGCAATGTAATGGCAGTAGGTAGACCAACTCAAAATATTCTTCAAAAACTAATTTGTATTCTGTTTAAAATTATATTTTTATATGATTCATTTTATTACATTTTTGGAAAGATTTAACATGTTTTCTCTTGATGAAAACAAGGAAATACTGTAGTTTGATTCTCATTTAGATTCATATGTCTTATTAACTTTTTTCCTTTGGTACATTGTACAATTCAGGGGTTTTTTTTGGTTGTTATTTTTTTCTTTTTAAATCACTACTCTTTCCATGGAGTTCTGGGTTACTTACTGTAACTTAATAGAAACATGGTATATGCTTAAGTTTTCATTCATCTCTACTGGTTCACACTACTCACCAAGTGTATTTCAGTAGCTATATTGTAAATATTCACTACTATAATGCACACTAGTGTGCTTATTTTAATTTTTAATTATTTCAGTATTTTACTTGTAATATTTAAATTGTTCTTCCTAGGTATTTTGGGGTTTTGTTTTGGTTTTTTGTTTTTTTGAGACAGGGTCTCACTGTGTAGTTCAGGCTGGCTTTGAACTCATTGTGTCACCCACACTGGCCTAAAATTTATGACAGTCCTCCTGCCTCAGCTTCCCAACTGCTGGGATTATAGGTGGGCACCACCAAGCCCAGCTGCTCTTGCTAGATTTTTTTAATAAGATTTTTTTCCCCTGCATATTCACTATAGTTTAATAAAATTTAACTTAATAGATTTTGAAAGTTACTCTTTTGGGGAGCCAGGGTGTGGTCTTTTATGTCCCAGAATCTGTTACAATTTTAGGTTACCACAAAATTGTTTTACTATTGATGAAATCATTTATCTCAGTAACATTAAAAATTCGGTTTAATATTATAGGTAATATTAATATATATGTTAAACTTTTCAAATAGTCACTCATTTTCAAAGTAATATTTGTCATTTAAAGAGGAAATAGTCTATGGTACTTTTTTTGGGTGGGGGAGATAGGATCTTTCTTGTTAAGTAGTTTAGGCTAGCTTGAACTCTTTGTATAGCCCAGGTTGGCCTGGAACTCGTGGGGATCTTTCTGCCTCAGCCTCCCAAATGCTGGGATTACAGGCATGTGCCACCACATCCAGCTGATTATACTACTTTCTTTTATACTTTTATTTAAAATTCCTTTGGAATTATATTAGTAAATAAATTCACATTTAAATGCTTCACAGTTTTACAAAGTCCAGATTAGATTTCCTAAAAGAGGGGGCTTGCCAGTTAGCTCAGTTGATTAAAGTACATGATTGGGCAAAGTCAGTCAGACACGGGAGATATGGTTTGATCCCCACCTCCACGTGCTGCACAAGCCCCACTCATAAGGCAGCCTGAGCCAGCCAAAAAAAAAAAATCCTTCCTAAAAGAAAACAAGGGAGGGGCCGGGGAGATGGCTCAGTGGAATAAGTGCCTCCCTCACAAGCGCAAGGGCCTGAGTTCAATCCCCGGTTCCACAAAAAAAAAAAAAAAGAAAACAAGGGATAAGCTGGTGTGCTCATGCACATGTGTAATCCTCAGTTTTTGGGAGGCTGAGGCAGGATTCCCTTAAATTCGAGGCCAGTCTGGGCTACATAACGAGTTCAAAGCCAGCTTGAAATACATTAGTGGAGCCTGGCTCAAAATATCAAGGGGTAGGGAGAGAAAAAAGCTAAAATGTTGTCATTCACTAGAGTCAGGAATTCCAGACCATAATATTTATAGGACTACTTCATAAAGATTGACAATCTGAACCATAATGAAACCGTATGTTACTTAGTAAATGCTACTAGTAGCATAGATCTAAAAGGTTTATGAATGTTGTAAAAGAACACATATATGTTTATTTGGTCTTCAGTAGAGAAAGTCTTTATGAAATTCTACTAAAATAGATTTCAAAGGTTCAAACTAAAAGCAAGTAAAATTCTGGCTTAGGGATAGTTAATACAGTGATTTGCAGTTGCTAATTGAAGAGATATCTTGACCTACATTTTTTCTGCTTCTGCTTTTGTATGATAGATATATCTTAGAAATGATTTGAGGTTACCCAGGGAAAGTATAATGACATTGGTTCATGGAGCAGAAACTCCATCAAGCAGCAGAAGAAGTGTCCAGCTTCTTAGGTAATGGAAAATTATTTGATGCTAGTATATGGAAATGATGAAGAAGTTTAAAATTTGAATTTATAAGATCTATATTGAAGAAAGAATGAAATTATATGTCAAATATATAGAAAACGGGCTTGAACAGTTTTTTCAGAGCATCTCATGCTAATAGACTATCTTATTCAATAATAAGAAAGATGGTAGAAACATGGCATTTTTACATGTTTTGAGTGTTAAGTTATATAGCCTTAGATCTGTTGTAGCTAAGGTATCATAATTTGCAAATTTTCAGAAGGCTCAGTGTTTGTTTTTTAAAAGTTACATTCAGCAGTTTATAGATCTTTACAGTAACAGTCTTGGTAACCTGTGGATGAAGAAAGAATCATTGTTTGTAACTCTAAAATTTTAGTTCATTGAGGGAAAAAAACATTTAAAAAGACAACTTAGCATTTAAATATTGCTAGCCATATCATTTTTATTTCCTTCAACTTAAATGCCCAGAGAATCAGTAGCTCCATGTCTTCTAGATATTTGTAGAAGATATTTCTAGAAGATAAGATGTCATGTGAAATCTATTTTAGGCATTCTGTAGTGAAAAATATTTTTGTGACATGACCAGAAGAAGTATTATCTAGCTCCAAATAATTAAAATATCATTTAAAGACTTTTGAACAGGCTATGCCACACCAGTGAATTTTCCATTTTAATTGTCATTTAGAAGTAAAATTCTAGCTTTGGGTGTAGTGCATTGGTAGAGTACTTACTTGCCTAGCATGCTCAAGGCTCTGAGTTTGATCCCCAGCTCTTAGCTGGGTACCAAAAAAAAAAAAAAAAAGTAAGATCCCAAAGAAGGGAACTGTTTTTCTCCTTAAACTTTTTTTTTTTTTTTTTTTTTTTTTTTTGGTGACACACAGGGATCATACTTCAGACCTTGTGGTTGTGAGGCGGGCACTTATACTGCTGAGCTGTCTCCCAGCCCTTTCTCCTTAAACCTGTACACTTGAGAAGTTTTCTAAGAATTAGTTAATGTTTTCACATGTCTATAGATCTAGATTTATGTTTTCCATTTTTATACTTAAACTTAGGTAATGTAGTTTTATGTACTTTAAAAATACTACTTAAATTGTTTAATTCCATGTATTATTCTTAAGTCTTAACATACATACTTTGTCAACTCACTCAACAGTCTTCATACCAAATAAAATATTTTATTTTACTGGGATAATAAAACTTACTTTATGTATTTACCCAGATTAAAATATTAGTTTGGTTAGCATAAGTGAGTAGAAAAACTGCATGTGGCCAGTTAACATACAATACAAATTTTATATTACAAATTAAACTTTATGTTATAAAGTTTATAGATATGAATTATAAATGTGTGAAAAATACAACAAATTAATCTGTCATCTTGTTACTCAACACAGCTGTTACTATTTTTTGTTACATTATCTTCTAATCTTTTTATGTGTATACATGAGGAATGTTTGTATACATTGTTTTCCATAAGTGAATTTTTTGCTTTGAAGTTCACCAGTAAAAAGGAGAGTAATGTTATAAAACTTCATGTATGTGGAGTTACACACTTCTGACCAGGTGTTTGAATCTGCTGAGAATGATAAAGAATAGGGTTTATTAAGCCCATTGTTTCATCTTCATTTTGGTAATTTTGTTTATAGAATTTATTTTTCCAAGATCTCTTAATTATATAGGTTATTTTTGACTTAATTATGTGAAACTTATATGAATGTCATTCCTTCTCTTAGCATGTGTTGTTTCTCATCTTCACATATAGTTGAAGCTTCATGTTTCCTCTGGTTTTGTCTTTCTGTGTGCTTGCCTTCATTAACAAATTTTCAGTGCCTTTTAGATGAAGTGTTCAATCTTTAGGCAACAAAAAGATGATTAAATACACACACTTTTCCTCTTGTCTAGTCCATCTTACTACATTTCTGTCAGTTCTATCTCCTTTCCTCCATTCTTCCGCACTTTTCTTAGTCAAGAGGTTCGACCCAGTCCTCATTTCTACTGAGGATACTCCCTGTTTTCCCTTCTTCTTAATGATTGAGGCAACTTGGTTCCACCTAAAGGGCTAAACATTAAAGTGAAATTTAAGGATATTTAGTTAACCCTTCTGTGTTTGATCATAATATTCTTTCTCAGACCTGTTTATGAAGATTTTGTCCACATTGTCTCATAATATCTGAATCTTCACTGTAAATCAAAAAGCCCTATAGGACCTGACTCATTTAAAATGTACATGGAAGGGCCGGTCAAATAGCTCAGCAGATTAAAGCACTTGCAACCAGGTGCAGGGGCCTGGGGTTTGATCCCTAGGCCTGCCATGCTGGCCCCGCCCCCAGTGCACACATCCCCCAGATGGCAATTGAGACTGGGCGTGGTGGCTCACACCTGTAATCCCAGCTCTTGGGAGGCTGTAAACAGGTGGATCGTTATGAGTCCCATCTAGTAGTGAGACTCTGAACACCCTGTAGACCCTTCCCTAAAATACAAAAAAAAAAAGTACATGGATAACTTCAAATCTAATTCATGTTACTCAAAGAAAAAAATATTTTCTAGTTAGCATCTATTTGCATTGCTTCCGTGATTTTAACAGTGTGTTGTCCTGATAACCACTACTAAGGATATTGTTTTTCCTTGCACATTCTGTCTAGCACATGCATTGTGAACAAATAAATATTAAAAGTACAATTAAAATTATTCTAATGCTCTAAAGCCAATGATAAAATTTTTAATTGAAAGCTTTAATCATTTAATCAAAATACAAATGCTCTAAAAAATCACTTGAGAAAGATTGTTTAGAGCAAAGTTCATTTCCCAGTAAAAACTGAATTACTTTTTAGAAATCATTTTCTCATTTTGCTTGAAAAAGAAATTCAAAAGAATATACTATAAATACCTTCTTTTAACCCTTTTGGGGGTGGCAGGTAGTACTGAGGATTAATCCAGGAGCCTGCTACATACTAGGTAAAAACTCCACTGAGCCACATCTCAGACTTTTTTTTTTTAGGGCGTGGGTGTGGGTGTGTGTCTGTGTGGGTGTGGGTGTGTCTGTGTGTGTGTGCATGCATAGTCATTGTATTTCATTTTGGTTCTTTTACTTTGCAAGTATGATTAGAAAATAATAGTTAACCTTTCATATTTATATAACACTGATACATAATTTTAAAATTGTATTTTGACTGATATATTAAAATTTACTGCACTCTTCTTCTTTCTGCTTATATATATTCTTTGTCTTGTCTTTCTTTTTACATTAGTAAATTTATTTAAGAATTTTAAAGATAACTTTGCTTATAGACTATTTCTTCCTTTAGGCTTTGTTTTGTCAGTTAGCTAGCAGTTAGTGGTATTGACTATTCTGTTTCTTTATCTTAGACAGCTTTTGTAGAAAACTGTTTTTGATATTTTCTTCATGTTGTTCTTTGATTTCTCAGAACATTAGACAACCAAAAAGGAACAGGAGTAAAGAAGAGTCCTATGTTATGTGGACAGTATCCTGTTAAAAGTGAAGGAAAGGAGCTGAAAATAGTTGTACAACCTGAGACCCAGCACCGAGCTCGGTACCTGACAGAGGGCAGCCGTGGCTCAGTAAAAGATAGAACTCAACAAGGCTTTCCTACAGTAAAGGTATTTTATTTAGTAAAATGTGAAAAAAATTTCTCCAGTTTTACTTATTATTTTGTTTTTAGTCTCAGTCAAAGCCACCAGAAACAGAAGAGTCAAACTGTTAGCTATATATTTATCATATATATGTATATATTTTTTAAATGAAAGTCTAATTGGACCAGAAGCCATGTATTATTTTGATACCACTTATGTTTTATTTTAAAGAAAGAAGAGATGTAAATATGTTCTAGGAAGTAAAATATCTGTAAATTATGAATTATTTTCTCCATGAGAATTATCCTAAACTAACTTGTTTGTTGTGTTATTTTGTTTTGTTCTGAAGCAGGGTTTCACTATGTAATTCAGGCTTGCGTTGAAGTCAGTATTCATCCCAGTCAGGCTTTAAACTAAGAGTGATGTTCCTGTTTCAGCCATTTGAGTGCTAGGGTTGAAGGGGTGTGTCATATCCAGCACCTCTTTTATTTGTGTTTTTGAGACAGGGTCTCATTATGTTGAGATATATATGATACATATATCCATCTCAACTTTGGGCTGGGAAGATAGCTCAGTAGAATAAGCACTTGCCTTGCACTGCAAGGTCCTGAGTTCAATCCCCGGTACTGCCAAAAAAAAAAAAAAAAAAGAAAGAAAGAAAGAAAAGAAATTTAAAGTGAATACAAAAAAATAGAGTAGAAATTTTTAAGGAGTTAAGAAATAAGATTTTTGAGATGGATAAAGTAATCAAAACTATTTGACTCAAAAAATGGCTTTATACGTAATTTAAGTATTTTCAGAACTTGGGACTAACGTGAAAGGAGGAGCATTAAGTTTTAGCACATGACATTATAAAGGATATTTCTTTCTTTCTTTCTTTCTTTCTTTCTTTCTTTCTTTCTTTCTTTCTTTCTTTCTTTCCCTTTTTTTTTGTGGTATTGGGGATTGAACTCAGGACCCTGCGCTTGCCAGGCAAGCGCTTATTCTATTGAGCTATCTCCCCAGGCCTTAAAGAATATTTCTCTTTGAAGATAAAATGAGAAAAGTGGTGTTGAAGATATTTAACAGGTACCTCTAATCCTTGCAAAATACTACATAGGGAGAAATGTTGGCTCATTACATGATCAAATCATAGTAGATACTGTTTGTATAAATATTTGGCAAATAGTGTTTTGAAGATTAAAGATGCACTGCCTTTCATTTTTATATTTGAATGAAGTTGGTTGCAACTTGGGATCTAGAAACTACCCATGGCCTTTTATAAGTTTAGTCAATAATGACATGTACATCAGCCTTACCCCAGTCTTAAAGCCACCACCTTAACCTATCCCCCACCATTCAGACCCAGGACAAGTAACAGAAAAGTGAGAAATTTAAGTTGCAATTTATGTAAATATCTACTCAGATTGTTTGATAATTTAGTCAGTATTTTCAATCTGTTTGCCTTAACTTTTAGTTAGACTTTGTCTAAGTGCTTTCTTAGTTACATGTATTTTAGATTAATTGTCTATATGATAGAGAATAAATCTATTAACCTTAAAAGTTTATTCATTCAACAAACACTAACATCCCTCTAGTGTCAGCAGTGGTTTAGATAGTGCTGACTGAGTGCTTTGCTTATTGCTCATTTGCATTATTATGATAATCATTTCACAGAGATTCCACTATCCTGAGACAGGAAAGGTGTAGGAGTTTTCTCTTTTTTTTGTATTTTAGGGAAGGGTGTTTAGGGTCTCACTACTAGATCAGACTCATAGTGATCCACCTGTTTACAGATTCCCAAGAGCTGGGATTACAGCCACACGCCACCACGCCCAGTTTTGTAGGAGTTTTCTGAAGCGCTGAGGAATACTCTGTTAACTTTGTTACAATCTGCATTCTGCATCACCAGCTTCAATATTTGCTACACAAGGGTCCTGGGAGATAGTTCAGTAGAATAAGCGCTTGCCTTGTAAGCAGCAGGGTCCTGAGTTCAGTCCCCGGTTCCACAAAAAAAAAAATTTGCTACACATATCAGTAATTAAAGGTGGAAACAGGGCTGGAGAGATGGCTCAGTGGTCTAAAGCACCTACTTGGAACAAGCTTGGCAAAGCACAGGGACTGCGGTTCAATCCTCCAGCACCGCATGCCAGCCAGCCGCGCCCCCTGGTGGGCTGAGCTGGCCACACACACACACACACACACACACATACACACATACAATAAATGTTAAAATAA